TATGTATAAATATATATATATGTATATATATGAATATATATATATACGTATATGTGTATATATATATACGTATATATATACATATATGTATATATATACATACATATATATATATATATATACACACATATATATACTTCTAAAAGTCGTGTATCATGCATAGGAACGTTGACGCCTGCAAGGATCGTTTAGGCCTCCCCTAACAAATTCGACCGCGATGTACAGTAGGTCTATGGGACACTTTGTAGTTATTGTATGTTCTCAGTCAATTTCGATTCATTGAATGATTACTAAATATCTTATTCTGATAATTATATGCGTATTGACTTAAAAATTATATAAAGACTGTGAAGGGAAGACTATTCTACACTAGGTAGAACCTACTTACTATGTGGTTTAAAATAAATTGAAATCTCTTTCCTCTAAAAAACCCCCCCCCCCACCAAAAAAAAAATTGAATAGGCCTACTGTACCATGACTGTACATAGTCTAGGCCTACTTACACTATTGTTTTGCCGTTAAGAAACAGGTCTCTTAACTTCACAATCTCAGGGTTCGTACGCATCCTTAAATTCCTTGAATGTCCAGGAAAAACAAATGAGCATTTTCCAGTACTGGAAAGTCCTGGAAATTTAATATTGTCCTTGAATGTCCTGGAAATTTGATTATTACCATTAATTGCATTACTACAAGTTGCCTAGCAACAGTAAATTGAATGAGAAACGTTCCCACAAGTGGTTCCCACAATTATCTTGAGAGCATCAGGTCAAGTCTTTGTACGCCACCAATTCAGGAATGTTATCAAGACAGAAAGAATGTCCTTGCTGAAAATGGCCGATTAGCTGGTTCAGACAAACTTGTGCGATTCAGCGAATGGAGTTGTTCGCCTATGTTTTAGTGAAGGCGGTGCTTTTTTTAAAAATCTTGTATATTAATAATGTTTGCATTTAATTTTAATTCAGACATTGATAATCATAATCGTTAACCTTGCTATGGTGTTATTTGCTTTCTGTCGTGTGTTATAAACAGTACTGAAATATTAAAGCAAATTCACCAGGCTAAGCACGTGCGACAAGACCTGTTCAACTTTCAATCAGTTGAACAGGTCTTGTCGCATGTGCTGAGCTCGCTCGGTGAATTCGCTTTGAGTAATTCATCACTCTTCAGACGCGCCCACATGTTTAGCACGAATGGGCACGTTTTAGCCCTATCCAGCGCAAGGCAGTTAATTAAGAAAGTAACCATGGGAACGTGTACTTCTACGGTTATTTTCTTAGTGAATGGCGTTTAAACGGCGTTTACTGTTTGAAAAACAATGCTGATCGGCAGCAGATCAGTGCCGGTATTTTGCTGTAGAGTACATTATAAAAGTTGTAGGCCTACAACTAAGGCCTAATAATAATAGACCTAAATATTAATACTAATGTTGGACTTAATATTAATGAATAATAATAAATAATACAGTATAGTATAATGATGTGTTGAGAATAGAGCATAACCATTAAATTAATAATATAGTAATCATTCGTTCATACAACTTTATAAACACCTAAATATATATGAAATGAGATGCAAAACGTCTCCGCAACGTACACCCATTGAAGGCTATACTGTATTGTTTTACTGATACGGAACATGTCAACTTTGCAACAGCTGTTCGCTGAACAACCCTGGGCTGGCGGTAACCCAACCCGCGGCGCCACAAAAGAACCGAGTATTTCTGCGCGCCGGTACCACAAAAGACACTGTCACGTTTAAGCAAAGATAAGACCATTGTTGTACGCGCACATTTATGTTGCCGAGTGGAGAATTCACTGTAGGCGATCACCCCTGCCTTACTTTACCGGTACTTCCCCATACTCGTGGGAATTCCTTTGCTTACCATCAACTTTTACACGTGTGAGGAAAACTTAATTTTTAAAAGAAAAAGAGACAGGTCCATCGCCTCCGAATTAGAGTTTGATAAAACTTAATATGCACTAAATATTGTGTCCTTGAAATTTGGAAAATTTGAACTTGAATGTCCTGGAATTGTCCTGGAAATTTGCTTGTTTAAAAACGTACGAACCCTGCAATCTACAATCATTGACAAATATACATTAGACCTAAAACCAAGTTTATTTTGTAGTGTATTTTGCTGTGGTGTATTGTGCTCCTTGTCACAATGGGATTGCGGACGAGGGTTATTTTTGTTCATACATACTTTTTATATATACTTTTATAGTCAAAATAGAGTATTGACAGTTAATTTTGTTCATATGTGCTTTTTATATCTTTTTTATGCTGAAAGTGGTGTGGTATGACGTGAACAGTACAGTAGGCGGT